ACCTCTCTGAACTCATAGAAAAGGAATAAAGAAGTAGGATGCTATATACAGTAGAAGATAACAAAAGTACTGAGTGGCTTAACAAAGGATGATCTAACACCAGTCACGGAATGCAATCTTTCTATCTAAAGCCACCAGCACCAAATCCACTAAGTGTTTTCCAAGTGGACATTACACAAACAGTAAAACTTACCTTTAAGAAAGACTTATTCCAAGCCAATTGAGTTTATGCAAGCCTTCCTGGCCATTTCAGCCATCTGACAACCTATCTCATGCTTTTTCTAAAAGCTCTGGCATGGCTCCCCTCAGCCAACTCCTTTTATGCAGCTGTCTGATCACATCTTTGACACACCAAATTAAACACAGAATACATTTTACTCCGTTCTTATACCAACCCCACTAAGCAATATCAGCACATACCACATTTCCAGAATTCTCTGCTCTTCCCTCTCTTGCAGACTCTGCAGCTTCACCTTCTAAGCACCTCAATCATATGCTTTACCGTAGCTTCCACTGTTCACCCAAACTCCATTCCTTGCTCACTTATTTAAAATTAGCAGATAAAAATTCCATGCTGTTAGTCAAAGGCAGAGAAAAACTGGAGAAAATTCATTCCAGTGTCTACTGTCATTCTACATTTGATTTTCCTATTGCAAGAGGATACTAGGAAATTCTGGAAGCAGCTTGTGGAATGTGTGTGTAAGGGGTGGGGGCTGAAGGAGAGAAGTGGGGAGACAGGAGCTTCTTTTAAGTTCCTTTATAGTGACTAGTCCTGCAAGGAGGAGACATCCACTTAACATCAGATTCAATATAAAAAGTAGTATTGCAGGTTTCTGCATAAGGGCCCTTGGCAAACACTACCTGGAAGTGATGGGAACTGCATGCTTTCTGCAGCACTTACAATCTCTCCCACGAATATTAACATATAAAGCTCCTTCAACTTCCCATCTGATTTCCCTCTTAATTTCTGAGGCAGTCGAGAGCTCCACGACAGCTACACAGATGTAAGAAGATTCTCCAGGAGCCATTCCTTAATTAAACGGAAACAAGAGAGGCTGTGACAAAGAATAAAAATGCTGGGCCAGATCAGAAACATGTATACAAAATCAATCTCTAAAGTTGCATGCTGCATTTCTTCCTCAAAGAGAGCTGAGGATCTTACTCAGCTAACATTGCAAGTCCGTGGACGAGGAAGCTGCCCTTCTAAAATGAATTCAACGGTTATTTCTACAACTTAACTCTTTCTTGCTTGAAATCCAACCTTGGATGGACCAAATCGTGAGTTCTTACAAATGCCATTTTGCACCTCAGGAAGTTATTCATGACAGGAAGCCTGAAGCATCATCTTCCCATCCTTTCTATTTTTTCATCTCCTAGGTTAAAGCTTCAACATTTTGGTTTAATTCATATTAGCAAAAATGGAAATAAAATTCAGGTGTGGGCTTCAGCTACCACTGCTCCTTTGTGAGCTATTATGCCTCACACAGCACAATGTAAACAAATACTAAAAAAATAATGAAGCATTAGCTCTGCTTGATTGGAGGACTACAAGAATTTGTCAATAACGCAGACGCTCGCATGCAGTCTGCCAGATGGCAGCGGACAGAAGGGAACAGGAAAGGAAGTCAGAACTTCGCCTAAGCACGCGTAAAGATTTGTCACAGCCTGCAGTTTCACCAGTACCCAGCCAAAATCTTTACTGTATACTTCTGTGTGCTGAAGGCAAGCGCTCCACCCCCAGCAAAACAGATTACACAATGGATTAAAAAGTCTGGAAATTCCCCACAGATTTGAAGTCTGGGTTCTAAGCAGTGAGGTGGACTTTGAATCGGATCCTCTCAAAGAGAAGGTTCTCTACTTCTGCAAATAGATTTTATGCCTACCTTATCTATGGAAAGAACTAATTGTTCTCATCTATAAAGTACTATAACAAGATTCCAGACTTCAATCATTTCCTTTAAAAACAGGAGGGAAGGGCAAAATTACAATTATTTTTTATATTATTTTATGACTTGATAAAAATATTGCAATAAAACCCTTTGAATCATTACAAGAAAAATAGAGCTCTACTGAGCCTATGAACAAAGTGCACAGGGGCAAAGTTTCTTTACTAGGCAGAACACAAAAAGCCAGAACCCTGCTTAATCCAAACACTGAAACAGAATTAATAGCTGTTCTGTGCTGGCCTTCTGTATTTGGGGTGGGCAGCGTGGCTAGAAGTCAACTCACTGCTGGTATATATTGTGACAGTATTTTGTTCCGTTTCACTTCAGGTCCAGCCACAGACCAAATAAACCAATGTCAAAATAAAAAATTAAGAAAGTCAAATAAAGAATTTTCAAAGCAATCCAGCCAAGACTACCCGTGTCAATACTCTTACCAGTATACATTTCTACTGCCTGTATTCAATTTATAATGTATACAGAAAGCAGAAACCAAAGTTCTAAGCAACATAAATACAAGTATGCTGCAAATGCAGAGTAAATTCAGCCACCCCATTACACCTGCTTAGAAGACATCAAACAGTACACGTAAGTTTCCCTAAGGATTTGAGGAGTTCTTCCATTCAGCTATCTGCCTACACAGTAGTCAGCCATGTGCCTTCCTGGAGCATGACAAATGTGTTGCAGTAAATTCAGATGATCCTTACTAACTGGGAGACCCTCTTTTCTGAAAAATCTCTTCAGCCTCATCCTGTTTCCCTCACAAATGTACTTACACGGTCATTTTCCCAACTCTGGACAAACTAACGGAACTCATAGGAACAAATTACAGTGACATTCACAAGTAAGTTGGCCCCTTTTAATTATATTTAGTACCACATTCTGTATATTTTATTTTAAAAGCAGAGTAAATACTGCAGCAAACAATATAATTACATTAAGCTGCGAGAAGAGTGGCTTTCCAGTGTTCTGAAATGGAATACAGACTTAAAAATGCATACGCTGTGTATCCTTTATTCCTAACCAAAATGTTTTTACAAGAAGAATTTCAATCTTACCTTGGCAGTTACAATTTGTTAACATTATCAACAATCTCCCACGGTAGAAAGGACTACCTGCAGCAACATTCATTCAGATGCTCTCTCAGACAATTTAGGATAAGTATGGAGCAGCTTTTAATTCAGCCTTATCTACAGAAATGCTGAATGCCACATTAGAAGAAATAAAGCCTTTCCAGATTAACGTATAAAGAGTCCGGCCATACAACACAAAGTTCTCATGTTTACAGAGCAAACAAAAACAAACCAAAAGCAAGGAATAACTGAAAACAACACTGCAGTCTCCAGGGCGTAGATTTCATAGGTTTTACACAAATTTATAGGCAAGTCATTTCATTAGTTTATTGCACTTCCTTGCCAACGATAAGGCATGAGTTAACAAACAGTCCATGCAGTTTGCAGTCGTGAAGGACCGTGAAGTGGCTCCATAGGATGACAACTCCATGAGTTACAAGGACAAGCAAGGCTAAATTACATTTCTGGGACTAACAGAAGGATGAAACAAACTCACAAAAAAAATAATCTCGGAATAAAGTTCTCCTGGTTTTATGCAGGAAGCCACATTTCAGGCAAACGATCAGAAAGGTTGATTCTTTGGGTGAAAAAGAACCAAGATATGACACAACCAAAAAGAACCAAGACAGGACACAACTAGATCTAAATTAAATAGAAAACCGAGCTATCAGTGCAAATTTTTCTATGCCTGCTCATGGTCTCCAGTCTATAAAGGCAACCTTCGGCACCTAGAAATAGACAGCCCACCTACTGAACAGCTCAGAGATGAGCAGGCAATTATTGTTCTTCATACACTGGTACTGAGGTAATTGGTTTTGGGGAGGATGCAGCCGCTTGGATAGCATACAATCTTTCCTGCGCTTGGATAACCAGCGTATCTCATCAGCAGTCGCCGACCCTCCTTCACAAACCTTCTGTCCTTCAGTTGGTCTAAACTGTTCCTTCATACATAACAGTTCCTTCTTAGCAGCCTAGAAAGAGCGTAATCTAGATAACATTTTTCTCCACTCAGTAAGAACAGAAAATGTCATTTAATAGACAAAACTTCAACCACAACAATTCAGATTCCAAAGACAGCAGCCCACGCATGCCACAGCCAGCAGTGACCCCTACCCTGCTTCAGTTTTATTATTCAGCAGTAGAACCCACCTGTATCATGGAACAAAACATGTTTCTAGCACTTATCGCCATCAGGATTTGGGGTATGCTTAAGATCTACATCTAAACTCTGCAGCCTGAGGCATTTACAGCACACAGCACAGCCATCCTTGTTATCTGCCAATCTCTGCAATGCTAACTCACTTTTTTTTAATGCCAAAAAGAACTGAAAATTCCTTGTCCACAGTCCAAACCAATGACAAAAGAAATCCAGACCACAGGCATCCTTTCAACAGGTCACACACACCTTTCCAAGTCACGATTCACTACTCCTCCATCACAGAATCACAGAGGTTACATTACCTTCTGGTATTTTACTTAAATACCTAAAGTTGATTTTAAAATCGACTTCTCTCATTCAAGTCAGTTTTAATTTTGTCTCCATATTCCTGCAAGAGCTCAATGCTCAGGTCATCATTCTGCAATGAATGTGTTAGTCTCTTGTACTGAAGAGAACAGTCCAGTTCAAAAAGTCTGAACTGCTAATTTAAAATGCAGTTCCCCTCATTCCTACAAGCTCTGAAAAATCCATACATTTAGGACTAAGCGAATTCCAAGGTCCTACACGTTTTTGTAACCAGAGAAAGCACGACTAGAATAAAACAAGCACTACACATGGTGCTCTTTCTATTCTCTCTCTTCAAGAAGAGGAAAGCACAAGAAACAACAAACTGTTGCAATCATAAAGCTATATACATTCCTGTAGTAGCATATCATAACATTTGCTGCTAATGTTAAGAGTGCACATAAGTGTTAAAAGCACACCAGAACATTGCTGACACAGTAGGCAGAAAATTGAAACAAAACAAACAAACAAACAACAAACCTTTGTCTCTCCTCTCTGGACTGTGCAGTCAACCTGTCCCAACTTCTTTCCATGTTACATCGGAACTTCCATGAGCATGACAAAAAAAAAGTGGAGGGGAGGGAACTGCAAAAGCAGAGAGAGAAGGCTCCTCCTTGCGCGCTTTACATGTTGAGGGCTCTCAGCTAACTGATCACAAAGCAGCTTTTACAGCCCTTATTCAAACAGTTCGGCTCCAGGGCAACAAGTTCAAAGTGGGAGGAGGCAGAAAGAGTCAGAGGGCGGTAACAATCTTGAACAGACACTTAGCTGCTTTTATATCTGCAGAACCTGTTCTTCAGGTTGGAAACTGAAACATCTGCTTGTTGCCGCGTTTGAAAGCTGCGCTCCAAACCTCTTCCATAATACCAGCAGGTCTGCAGTGGCAAAACCAAGCTTAATAACACACAGACATGCAACATGTGGGAGGAAAAGTTAATCATTACTGCACGGTGCATTTGTTTTACGTTTTGGACTTCCTTGTATTAATGGCAGTAAAGCAGTCACTCCCCTATCTGTTATATGGAAGAGCTGAAAAGGGTGCAATGGAAACAAAGTCTGCACAGAAATTTCAGTCCCTCGGAAGGATGTGAAGATCTTAGAGGAAGTGGAGAAGGCAAGAAAAGCGCTGAATGTCCATGTTTAAATTAGTGACTAAATATAAATCATTAAGTATACAACCATGCCTACACCTTTGCTCGTATGGATTTAACAAACTTCAAATGATGCTTTACTTATTGCAGCAGTTACTCATTTTTCCCAATACAGGAAAATACCGCAGATGCTGTTTGCTAAACAAACAACCAGGACTCATCCTACACAGAGGTAAATTTCTTCATGATGTTGCAATAACAATTAACTGCCCCAAAGCATATTAGAGCAGCTACATCGGATATGGAACATTTCCCTTCTTTCACTCAGGAGCATAACTTTTAGAACGTAACAGAATCCGTTCAGTTTGTCAGGAATAATCACACGCAGAAAAGTTAAACACATTTTAGCAGTTCTGGGAACAGAGTCTTGGCAGCCTGGGACCCAGGATGATGATAAGGAATAGTTAATATGTGAACTCAAAAAAAAATAAATATTAGTAAATAATTAACAAAATGACCTCATGAAACTTTGTAGCAAGGAACAGATTGAATGGATGCAAAACCAAAGCAATTACCATAAATCAATTAAAATTGCTGGCAGTTTGGATTTCTAAGCGTTGCTAAGGTTGGTTTGGGTTCTCTGTGGCAAAAACAGCCACTTACCGAAAAGCAGGAATAGACTCCACCACCCACATCGTCCTCCAAACCACGGGTTTATTTTCTCATTCTTCTTGGATCCACTTTGACTACCCTGTTTATTTTAAAGCCCTGCTATTATTTACTACAATAACAATTATTTAAGAAAAGAAAATCTGACCTTTGGAAGCCTCCAAAGCCTCGTCTTATCTTCAGCTTCACAAATGGTTTCCAATCTCCTAATTAAGAGCTCATTAGCCAGCATTTCAACTTTCAGGCTAAACTGACAGTTTCCTTGGCTTCTCCACCTGCAAAACCAAGAGAAACGTATGGAACAGCTTCAGCAAAACGGTGACAGAACACCTTGTAGACTCAAAAACCATACAATGAACACTAAGTTGGAATTCTCCCAAGCACTGTGACCAGCTATCAGCTTGGCTCAGCCAGTGGCACCAACAAAACACCCCTCTTTGTTCCCAGCTCCCTCTGGAATTCCTGTGTTCTAATGTTCTCACATGCAATCAGTTCAAGCCATCACTCCTCCATTGCAGATTGCCGCACAGTGCAGTGTGATCAAACTGCAGTCGGGATGCCTTTGCTGCACTGCATATGAAATATTGCAGCTGCAACCGTTCTTATGGGGAGAATGCCACCAAGACCCGTAATCCTAAATATCTTCATTTGTTCGTTGCTCTTCTTAACGATTGAGCTGTCAGGTACAATGATGGAACTTGGAGCAGAATCGAATCGAATCGTGCGGGGCTGTGAGGTGAACTCCAATTCTAAATGGGGCGATGGAAACCCGCTGGGCTGGCGCCTGAGGGCAGCTCCCCGGGGAGGGCGACGCAAACCGCCGTGCAAGGGAGGCGATCCGAGCAGTTTTCTGATACAGGAGCTCCCCCTGCTGGTTCACCAGAACAAACTTTCCAACACTTTTCCTTGATTGTACTGGTTGTAGAGCTACAGATGGAGCAATCTGTAGCAGCTGTGTTTAGGTCGCGTGCCCTTCTTAGCGTTACCAAATATACGTGGGACAGAACGCGTTATTGAAGCGCCACATAAGATTCACCACAGCTTCACAGCCCGTTTGGTGCAGTAAAACAGGCGAGCTGTATCGCTATGAGCAGAGCACTCAGCTCTGAGGCGGCGCGTGCCGTCACGAACACCGCTCACCTGAGGACAGCGCCCCCCTCAGCGGGGAGGCGGGAAGCGCAGCGCCAACGGCTGCCGAGCCGCGCGAGAGCGAAGCGGGAACCGCACCTCCCCTTCAGCTTCCCGCCCAGCCGCAGTGACGTCATCACCCTGCGCCGCGCCATGGCGCTGGGCCCCGCCGGGCCGGCTCGGCTGGTGCGCTGCGGGCAGAAGGACGAGCTGTACCGGAGCGGGCTGCGCAGCGGGGCCGGCACCGCGCTGCACGGGATCGCGGGTAACGTCACCTCTCCTGCGGATCGGTGCTGTACTGAGGTGACGCGGGGCGGGACGGCTCCATTCCTCAGGACGGTGCTGAGGGTTCCCGGCTGCGCGCTGCCTCAGGGGGCCGGGCGGGACTGGAAGCACTGTCGGAGGAGAGCATGGATCAGTACGAATCTTACTTAAAATAACGATCCTGGTCTCTTAGGAGCTAAGAAGTGGCTGGAGTGGAGGAGGGAGATCGAGCTGCTCTCTGACGTCGCCTACTTTGCCCTCAGCACCCTGTCAGGTAACGCGCTGCGTGCTGTGCTGCCCTGCGGTGTTTCAGTGAGCCCTGGCAGGCATGGATCTGCTGCCAGTCCTTGTCGTTGAATAACTGGCAGAAGGCAGAGATCACACCCAGCAGTAAATCCGTACAATATGAATACAATATATCGATCCAGATACCTATGGTCTCCTGCCTTAAGCCTACAACCATTGCAGATACCCAGTGCTGGTGCAAATATGTTGCTCACCTCATTCAACCAAAAACACAGTTATCTCTGGAACACCAAAACTTTGCAGCTGCTCTTCCTGAGCAGCCTGTTACCCCCCCCGCCACACACTAAACTGCTTATTCTCTGTTACTCACATCTAGGTTATCAGACTCTGGGTGAAGAATATGTCAACATCGTTCAAGTTGACTCAACCAAGAAAAGGGTGCCTTCTTTTCTTCGGCGAGCCATCTTTGTTTCTCTTCATACTGTAGTACCCTATTACTTAGAAAAGGGATTGCAGCACCTGGAACATGAGTTGCAGATAGAAGATGATGGGGCTAGAACCTTGCAAAGCAACCCAGCACTTGGCTTGTCCAGTAGGACCTTAATACGAAACTGGATTCAGAAACAAGTCAGGGAGCTTACAGAAAAACAGAAGAAAACAATCCTGCAAGTTGTGTACATTCTTAAGCAATCCATTCCTTTGCTTCATCGACTACATCTGGCAGTGTTCTACATACATGGCACTTTTTATCACCTATCTAAAAGAATTGCAGGAATCAGATATGTAAGTGGATCTGTTAATTGTGTGAAAATCATGCGCAGTGCAGTATTTTGGCTTCTTTTGGGATGCAGTTTGCATAAAAAGGATATAGAATTTTGCTGATTATAATACAGCGCAGACTGGGTGAGAAGGAGATAAGGGCAATTATGGGGGAAGGCATAATTTTGTAAAATTGAAGCAATTAAACATCTCTATTTGTGTGCATTTTGCAGCTGCACTTTGGAGGAGTACAAGGAGAAGATCAGAGCATTCGATCAAGTTACAAGTTCCTAGGAATAATTTCACTCTTCCATCTTCTTCTGACAATTGGTGTCCAGATATACAGCTTCCAACAAAAGCAGAGAGCAAGGCAGGAATGGAAACTACACCGCAATCTAGCTCTCCAGAAGTATGTTCATTTTACTTAATAGGAAAGGTAGAAGCAATAGTGGGAAATGTAATGGCTTTCACAAATAGGGAGAGCGCTGGCATTACATTTTGACTTAAGATAGAACCTGATGTAGCATAACAGTGGACACACTCACTTACTAAACATCTTAAGATTTCATGCCTTGCTTTTATGTGTGGGACTCTCACAGGAAGGGTTAACATTTGAAGGAAGGCTTTACAAGATTGTGTTAACAAGTATTTCTTGCAAACAGGCCTCATAAAACTAATTAATTACCTGTGTTGATTAGAAATACAATAAAGGAAAAAACTACTGGGCGCCAGTCCCGCTGCACTTTGTGTTTGGAGGAACGGAGACATGCAACAGCCACACCTTGTGGGCACCTGTTCTGCTGGGAATGCATCACCGAGTGGTGTAATACCAGAGTAAGTACAGTGGGACAAACAGCCCAGGAGTAAATATGATGAAATCTGTAGCTTGCTGTTGAAATATTACCTTTTCCCTCCCTAAGACACCCAAAATCCTCCCAGAGGTTTGTGGGATCCGTATATTGTACTAGGATACAATACTATATAGTACTTTGATGAGGTAAATGAGATGTTTCTGATTCAGCCATTGAAATGCAATTGAATTAACTGGAGAAGTCAGGCACAGTCATAATAAAGACCCAGGCTATAATTCTGTCTGCAAAGAACAGAACTGATCAATGTTGTGATTTCCAGTACAACAGAATAAGTTACAAACTAATTGAGCTAACTTAAGACAATTTTTTTTTTTTGCATTACTGAAATAAACAACTTCCATCCATGAAGGTTTTCTATAGCTGTCTTGGAATAAGGCATTATCCATTTACTTTATGAGTAAAAAAATATTTAAAAAAAAAAAAAGGGCTACTTACAAATACAATCTTTGCCACAGGGCTTAGGCCAACACTGTAACTCTGATGCATTACTGCAGTACTTCAGATCTACTTAAATTTTCTGGCACTAATACTGATATAGCTCTGGCAAAACAGAATCAGGTAGTCTGATTCATTTAATGCTTTCCTAGCACAAACCAAGCTACCTTCCTTCCCACTGTACAGTTAGCAATTTTCAGTACCTCAGCTGTTGTTTCTGAAATATAAGGGAGGCAGCAGATGTTACAAAGTTTCAGCTGGATGTGCAAGTTCAATACACAATGACAGGGAACTCAAAGTTCACAAGACCTTCCTGCACAAAACAGAAGTTCAAATGAACTACTGGGTATAACTGAAGCTGGTACCTAGACAGGGCTCCTAAAACTCAGAGTGCCCTGGAATTATTTTGGGCAAAGTGGTCAATAGAGATTAGCACTATGCTAGTTCTAATTCAGCTGCAAGCAGAAGTGGAATTAATGTAAGCATAAAGAAAAGTAATACCTCTGAAAAAGAGTATATGGCAGCATTGCTTGGCAATATTCAGGGGCAGCAGAACACATGAAAAACATCTCAATGACCATTTGAGATATTTCACCAGACAGACTTCCTTGAAGGTAAAAATCTGACAAGTCACTTCTCTTAAAGATTACGAAGTTTCTTCAACTAAAGATGTTGGAAGCTGTGTACAACACCTGTGGATTTGAGGTCATATTTTAAACACATTTTAAACTCACCTCAAGCTGCAATTTGAGTGAGGTACCCTTTCAGAGCCTTACCTGGTTAAGCATGCAGTGCAGACTGGACTAAAAAAAAAAAAAACAACCACGTAGTTATAGAAGCTCATTTCCTAGTTCTTGTTTAACATAGTTGGATTTTTTCTTTATTTTTAACCTTTTAAATACAGCAATTTAGAATATCTCTTTGCTTTTTGTAGACAGAATGTCCACTGTGCAGAGAGAAGTTTCATCCTCAGAAACTGATCTACCTACGCCACTATCAACTGTGAGGAAAAATCCATTACAAGGGCCTCTGCTCTCTTACCTTCATACAGAATGGTCATACAGTTCAGGTTAGTCCAAGAATGAGACTTTATTGTAAAACTGGTAACTGCCTGTACAAGGTGGCACTTCATTCCTGTTGTACAAAATAAATCTATTTCTGCCTCTTCGTGTTTCTTGCTTTATGGTTCTTGACCATATTAAAAATGTCTTTCTGAAGTTGCTTAAAGAAGTGTGATAGTCTTCAAACAATGAAAGATTTAAGTCATTTTCTCTAAATTTGAGTAACAAATCTTCCAACCTTTCATAACATGCTTAAGGCATTACTAACATTCTACTATTTTTAAGACTCCCTTTAGGTAATTAACATTACAAGAGTCCATGCTATAGATTTCAGGGGAAAGCAATAAGAAAAAACAACAAACACTATCAGAGGATGTACACGAGTCCTTACTTCACTTGCAGTGGGACTTCTGGTGATAAAAGTATATCAACATTCAGTTTTCATAGTAAAGTTAACAATAAAGCAGCTTTCTTTGATTTGACAAAGCTTCCCTGATGAACAGAAGCAACAAATGCAAGCCCAAAGTAATACAGAATGTCTATTAATGAAATCAACATTGAGCTTTTAACCTCAAAACTCTACCGTTATTACTACAAAGATTTTAATCAAGTATTCCAGACACTTAAGACTAGAGCAATGGAAGAAGTGTTTCAAAGTCACACGTGCATATGTGTAACACGATGGAAAGTGCAACAGTGACAGCAGAACAGCAAGATCCCAGGCTACAGCAAGAGGGTTTGCTCAAATACAACAGCCATGGGCACAGAAACAAAGGAAAAGAAGCTGCTTACCTTCTGAAGGCCTCAGGTATGCAGGGATCTCCACCAAGATCCCCTTGCCTCCACTGCCAGCCCTTAAAGGAGGACTGGGAAGGGGTGGATCCTGGCTCCAGCCCTTCTGGTCACTCAGTACATTGCATGCACCTGAGCTCCCCTGGGCTGGCCCTGCCTTCCCACCAGGCTCCATCACAGGTGCAAGCTGTGATTTAGCATTTCTACTACAGGATACTAATAGTCAACTATGCCCAACTGTAACAAATTTGTTTTATAACACAGCCTATGTTCTGTCTGCATGGCCTTTTCCATAGTCTAGCACAGGGAAGAAGCTGATTTCAGCCACAGGCCTTCTACTCTCTTTATGGTAATAGGAACTATTTAGGCAGAGCCAGTATATGAGAGTATGAACGAGGAAGGATTCAGCAGCATTACATCCTCAAGTTTACTTCCCTAAGTTATAATTAGCTCTGCTACACAAGCATTTAGAGCATCAGGGAAAAAAATAAGATTGTCAGTTATTAACACACCACCTTATTTTTGCACAGTATGTGCAAGAGGAAGTTGATTCTATTTCTTCAATACAGGTGGAGAGGGAAATCCATGTGATCCACTGGCAGATCATGAGTTTGTTTCAATAAATCTTGCACAAATAGCACCAAACATGGATTGGGAGGGGCAAGCTACAGGAAAAGCACTTCTTTTCACAGTTATTTGTATTGCAGAGATGTGAGCTAGTTAATTATTAAATCTTCAAGCGTTATGAATCCTCAAATAAAATCAGATGAGTGTTTCTTTGCGCCTATAAATCAAATAAAAAGTTACTGTGCAAGCACTTCAGCATTATTGTACAAAAGCTGATTTTCAGAGCTGCAATATCTTCCCCTTCCTACACTAGAAAAATTTCAGGCATCCCCATGTTTAAAACTGTAAAGAGAACCATGGCAGAAAAATGGTCCATACGACTCAAAGATGTGCTAAGGAAACAACTGCATTATAAGCATTCTCCTTACCATGAAAAACAGTGAGGAAAGATAATCTGCACATAGAAACAAACAGGAATCAATCAGTGACTGGCAAGTCCCTGTGAAGCTGGTGAGCCAAGTTTTTCATGCATTCTGTAATGGTAATTCATCACTCCTCAGTGATAAAAACAGAGCAAAGTTTAACAAAATGCTGTCAAACTTGCCTGGCCTTTGGAAGCTGAGAGTCACCTGAGGAATTACAGTCATCCTGATGTCATCCACAATATGTATTTGAAAACTGCTAACCCCACTGAATATTGAACAGCTAGCTATACATCTATTAATGAGAAGAAATCTATTCTTATGCTGCCACTTAGGTTAGAAATCAGGTAAAGGTAAAAATCTGTAATTTGCAATGGCTGTTTCTCATATCTCATTGCTCAGGGGTCACTCCAATTGCTAACATTTAAAAAGGAATCATACAAATCTCCAAGTCTTACCCACATATCCAGAAACTCCAGCAAACCTCCAAGTTCAGGCTTTCAGACTAAAGGGCAAAGAACTACAAGTGTCCATGATCTTTCTAGATGCAGCGTTTCTGTAATTTGAAGTTAGACTAATTCCCACATTGATAAGGAAAACACGCTGACAAACAAAAACCAGGCCAACATCAACTTAAACTACCGTTCACTTTTCAAGGTTTGGAAAAGGCTGGATCCTAGGGCACCATGACTTCATTCAACAAAGTCATATGAAACTTTTCTGTAAGTTTTCCAATAAGGCATCAGTTGAAGTTGACACTGTTCTCCATTTAGAATCTTTGAAGAGCTAAACTTTATCTACCTTGTCCTGGTGAATGTTCCCTGAAGATCTAAAATAGGTCACATGAAGATAAATTCTTAGGGTAATCACTACTGCAAAGAATCCATAAATACTATTAGATCTTTCTATATGTATATTTATATATAAAGATAATAGAGAACAAGCCAAGAGGGACACTGTCTTTTAATAAATTTTGGAATTAAAAAGTCACTTAATAAAATTGCAGTTGTATCACATGAAAAAGTTTACATGCAGGTCATTTATCTGATTTTTTTTTTTTTAACTATAGAAAATGAAAATCTTTGTTAAAACTCACAAAGTTTGTCTCCTGTGGCCAGTTGGAGTATATTCTGAAGGGGCTGCACGGACTTGGCTTAAGTTAATCAAGAAACCCTTAGGTATGAAAGAAATTCCAACTAAAACAATTAAAATATATATATTTATAATTCCAGGTCCTCAAAGGAAATTGGAATAGATTTTGAACAAAGCTTTGAGTCATCACGAAGGAACCCAATTTTAGCATCTTCTGGGAGGTGTAATGGTGAAACTGGCATTGAAACCTAACAGAAATGAGTTACTTTAGAAGCTGTGTGTGTTTTTCTCCCTACTGCAAAATCCTTACATTTGGAGATTTCTTTTTCTATTTATGACTCAGTAATATCATGCATTTAGCAAATTGGCATCTATTCAGATCTGCTGAATTTTTATATGAAAATAGCACAAGGCCATGAAGCAGAAAACAGCATCATGTGTGCCACCTTTTTCCTACATACGTGCACAGCACTTCAGGGTGATACTGAGAACTACGTAAAAACATCAAACTCAAAGCCATTCATCTCTCCAGTGCAATGGATCCTGAAAGGAATCCGTTATCCCAAATCCAGGGGATTATCCAAAGTTTCTCCAACTTCTTACAAAAGATAAACTCAAAGCAAGTTGGTTAGAATGCCAGTTTCTTCAAGCAACTGATACTTCAGATAAAAGTAGCGAGATCCTCTTAAAATGAAACTTCAACTGCTTTGTCACAACTCAATCATTTTTATGAAGAAAAAAGGCATTGTTACAATGGCTCAAAAATCGTTCCTTTAGTTGTAAGCAGAATTGGTCAAAAGGTTGATTGCACCTTCTAGCTAGCAAAGGTCTTTCCCACATCTTCTTTCCCTTTGTATTTCCTCTTGCCGTGTGTGAAGGGTATATATCTGTACTTTATCATATGCTGTGAAGAAAAAAAAATACCAATTTTTAGAGACAAGAAATATAGATAACGTTTACAAAAAATGTTTCATAATACATCATATAACTGACACAGTCCTCTAGGGAGAAAGTTCTACAGCACTTCAGAAGCTAACCATAAAGGTTAACTGGCTTAAAGAATGCTATGAGCCTGATTTTCACATTTGGTTGTACTCAAACAACATAGAGAGCACAGTAAAGTTTGCTCATAAGGGGACTGCAGGGAACTCCTGCCACTTAGTTTACATTTGAGTAATGGTACTTCAAAATTCTGAGTGTCTGGAAAGAAAATGATTCTCCTTTTAAAACATCAACAAATATTAAGAATGTAATGCAGCAAACTGGACAGAGGTTGAAACAACACTGCACATTTTGACATCACAAATGCTATTCTCTGTTCTTAGCAAGTTACCTTGATTTGCCTCTTCATAGTGATACAAAACAGCATAATGAAGTACATCACAAGGATTGGCCAAAAAACAGGAACGTTGAAAGCCTCAAAGAATGTACATGCCATAGCAACCAGGATGCCTTTAGTGGCCGAGTGCCTTAAAAATAGCATTAACAATTAATCCTTCAACACCAGTCACCGTTAATTAATGCAGATATTTACACATTTCAGAAACAGAACGTGGGCAAATAGACCGACTCACCAGAATTTAAACTCTGGGAGCCTCCTAATGAAAGGCCGAAATTCTTCATTTTGCCTTGTAGGTAAGGAAGGACCATCATCTGAAGGAGAAAAAAATAACAGTCAACTCTCACTGTTACATAGATTCCAGTTACTGTTGTGGCTTTAGTGTAACAGGGTTGGCTTCCCATTAAAAAAAATAATAATAAAAATAACAAAAATGAGTGCCAGGTCATTGAGTTATTGCAGGGAGAATTTAAGTCATGTACACCTCTCTCAAAACAAAGATTAATAAAATATGGAATTGTTCAAGACCTGAAAAAAATCACTTTGGAGACCAATTTCATAGCAGTTTCTAATTTAAGCTGTATGGAGTTTTTGTAAGTTGAAGAATACAGTGTCAGACTGGAACTGCACAGCCTTACAGTATTATATCAGACAAAATGAGCCAGAAGTTTAATTAAGTTCAAAACTACTGCAGAATGAATTCACCATACCTGAATCTTCCATTAAAGAGGGATCTACCTTTGGCGACAAGAAAGCTATAAAGAGATTTAGATGGTAGATTCCCAAGGCATATGTCACAATGTACCAACCCTGAAGAAAGGGAGGAAACAAAGGAGAAAAGGTTAAAGACCTCCTGCACACCACTGTCAGATATTTTCAATCAAACAATTTGGTTTCTGCTTCCTTAATAAGTGCTTCTCCATGTCCTCATGTTCACATGAGAGGTTTTCTTCTTAAAAACAAAGCAACAGCAAAAAAACATGGTTTCCACTATTTCTATACTGATAGAAAACAAAGTTTTCATTTCAATTTACTTACATATTGACTAAGCTTATTGGAAGACCAGCAAAAACTTTAAATCTATCATTCTTAACAAGCCAAACATTTCTTAAATTTCCCTACAGTAAACCTATTATGTTAATTACAACAAACCTTAACATGAGTGGTACACTGATGGATTTAATGAAAGCTTTTCTCGGACGCCTGGTTTCCATGTTCAAAATGCAGATATCATAAAAGCAGCAAAAAGCAAGAAAGCAAGGCTTGCTTTGTTTGAAGCATCTTTGCAGGCTTCAGTCTCTTAAATATTCCTATTACCACTGCTCTGCACAGTTCTTGCATTCAATCTGCAATCTCCAGTTTTCTGAAATCACCATTCTCGAGCTCTACACTGAACTGCAGACTGGCATGAGATGCAGCATCTGATCAGTGCAGAAACAGCCTGCTGACGTGCCAAAAAAGCAAATTTCTCAGTTTGCATGGCCAAAGGTAACCATGGGCTCCTGAACAAATTAGTCAGCTTTAAAAATAAAAAACTTTAATGGCTACAAAGTTCTCAGAAATTTATTATGTAATTTCAACAGCATTACTGCAGTATTTCCACTTTATCATCAAATAAATAATCTTAAGCATTCACAAATTCTTTAGTCTGAAGGCAGGAGTTGAACACCAGCAAGAGCTTCCTCCTCAGACTACCTGATCTACCCTTAGAGTGTTCTAATGACAAAATGCAATTCCTGAAATCCTCCTAACAGGAATAACAGAACACTGATGATGGCTGAAACTGATCAGTAAGCCCAGTTTTCCTACCTGCAGTAAATAAACTCTAATCATGTAGATAAAACTCAGACCCAAAGTTACGATCCATCGCACTGCAGTATATGGAGTAGATTTGTCTAACCAGGACTGGTAGATCTAGGAAGAAATACAGTAAGCAGCTGTAAAATATATGCTGCCCAGTGAATAAGGCGTATTTCAGGGCAGCATTAGAAATAGTAAGCATTTGGAAATATATTTTGGAAAGGAGAGTAACATGAAACATTCTTATTACAATTAACTTTAATAATAAACATAAATCTTTGAGAATACAAGCTCTACATTTCCACAAAGGCCAGAAAACCCCAACTCCTAATACCTGGGGCATCAGAAAGAAACCCAGAATTTCAACCTTTTATTCTTTATCTCCCTTAAGTTTACTTTCCTTCACATGATTACGACAGGGAACGTAAAGCAACATTTTTTGATGATAAGTGCATATTTCCACTGTGATACATACATGATTAATACATACACATTAAAAATCCCATTAAACTACGCATTAGAATATTTGTCTATTTTTAAAGCATTTCAAATGAAATCTTCTGTACAGATTTCAGCATTTCAGCAGTTCATCCAACCTCAAACTCACTGAGGTGTGCACTGCTTTGCATTGAGTCCTGCTTGTAATGGAGTCACAGAAATCCTAGAGAAAACCAACCTGCCCAAGTCTTGTGAAAAATCGATAGACCACAGAAGGCTTTCCATGAACAGACTCACCAATGCTGTCCCCTTCTGACATGGTTGCTGTGAAAATAAAACAACACATAGGTAACATTTCAAACAAAAAGCTGAGCGCTGTGAAACTTCATACTACAGAACGCCTTATGTTCTTACAGTCTTTTGGACAACCCTACTTGAAAAGAAAAAAGTATTCTTGGAGAAGACATTTATTCGAAAAGAAATTCTGTTCTAGAAGAAATTGTCAAGAAGGTAAAGAAAAGGGTATTTTACAAAGGGAAGAGAGGATCCAACCCATCTTAGGGAAGGAGAAACAAATCCACACAAATGCAGGAATGAGCCCTGTTAGACATCACCTTGATAAGGCAGGAGCTGAGTTATAACATGTAAGCACTGATACGCACTGCAGCACCACCTCAGTGTCTAAACACAAAGAACAAAACCAAAATAAATAATTTTCTTTCAAGCTGTTTAAGACTTTCAAATATGGAATAACTAAACAACAAAGCATTTAGGTTCAGGACTTCATACACAAGTGGTTACAGAAACAAACATTTGTCACAAGCACCCAAATTGAAACACTCCTAGCACGAATCACTGAGTTTATCTAATGAACATGCAGAGCCCTGAAGTCACAGAATAGTTTTATGCATCACTAAAACTGTAAACAAAGAACAGGGCAAGGATTCTGACCCCAGATAAAAATAATTCCCTTGGTATTCTTTTTTAAGGACATGTTCCTACTACTAATTCAAGATCTTTACTCTTAAGCTCAACTAAGCTTTATCAGTCTACTGAAGACATAAAGCAAACAAAATGAAATTGATTCTAAAGAGAAACACGTCTGCCACATCATCAAAAGCAATCCCTGACATTACTTCCTGGATTCCTCATCTGGGGGTGGGACTGCACACCTCTGGGACAGCTGGAGGACTTTCACCACGATATTAACATCTCCAGAGCCTCAGATGGCAGCACACATGAGTGAAACATCATTAATTCAGAAGAACATAGATTTAGATACTGCAATGGAAAAACTGAGACTGAGGACAATCCGGGCAGTCAAATAATCTTGATGCTGAGTATTTCCTATAAACACCTGAAAACCAGATCCTATAGAATAAATAGAAAGCAGGAAAAATGGAGTCCTGTTACACCTGAAAAGATAAAGGGAAAAGGATCACGAGGCTTCAAAAAAAGATTCCATTTTAATTCTAGTTATGGCTAAAAAGAAAACAAAACCCAGTGGAAACTCACACAAAGAAAGATACGGACATTTTAGTTACAAAAAGGAAGTAATTATTATTCTGCCCATTCACTGCACTGCAGAAGGAAGAAATTACTCGGCACTATTAGCATCATTTTGTGCTTTATTTGGGGTGGGTTTCAATCATCCTGAGATATAAAATCACAACAAAAAAGATATTCAATCTCTTGATGACAGAATAACAATTTCCTAAAGGTGGCAAACGTCAAAACGCAAACCAATATTCACATCACAACACCTGACTACTGCATGCTACAAGCAGACCTTGTAGACCACTCCAATTGTGCAACGACTGACCTACAGGCCAAGCAACAAATCATGCCTACAAAGCTACCAATGGCTTTGCAATGGAATAGAGGTTTTGGTTGGTGTAAAGAGGCGCTGTATGTACAACCACAATTGTTCATCATCCGTACAGCCCCCTCACGGCAGGCCAAGCAATGCAAGCAGCTAACACTGTCTCTCTGACTCAAAAGCACCCAGTGGGGTTTCTTTAAGTAACGCAGACTACAGCATCATGTGACAAAGAATTTGATTTAGCATCTCTCACCATTTTAAAATACTCACTTAAAGCACACCTGTAAGCCACAAGCATTGAGGAAAGCCACCTTTGGCAGTGGAGGCGGTTTACAACTAAGAACCTAAGCCATACCTTATTGCTATATGGGATTAATTAAACCCAAACAGCAGCAATTTCAGAATCACAGAATGGCGCAGGGTTGGAAAGGACCTCAAAGATCATGAATCTGCAACCTCTCTGCTGCAGGCAGGGCCACCAACCTCCACGTTTAATATTAGACCAGGTTTTTCAATTCCTCTTTCACAATGAGTTACAATAACTCTAAAGCCAGAAGGGCATGCAAAGATTGATACAACAAACGGCAGTTTGCACCCAGCAGAGCACAGCCCAAACTGCCACTGAACAACTCCAAGCAGGTGAGCAGAACAACAAGGGCGTTTTTACCTCTGTTATTATGCTAATACCATCACAAACCTAATTGTACCCTCGAGTTCCCAAGGCCAAAAGTCACCTAAGCTACTTGTCCTAAAGTCGCATACAGTTACTAAACTTTCAGACAAACCTCTGACCACAATAAAAGCTTAAGTGTAAAATGCCAAGGAAGCAAATCGCTAACAAGATCACACCACAGTTTATGGCAGTTTCCTCATCGCTTCAAGAAAATTACTTCATAAAGCAACGTCCTATAGTCGTGTGCCGGTGCCAGAACGAAGGACAGCCTCAGGACCGCCCCAATGTTAGAAACGGGACGTTCCCCCCCCCGGCCGGCCCGCGCCCACCCACCGCCACACAGCAACAGTGCCAGGAACCGAGCCAGAAAGAAATCAAATAAAAGCCAAAGGCGCTTCGGTTGGCAACGTCTGATTCTGAGAGCAGCAGGAAGGACCCCTCAAAGGAAAAGCGGAGCCCGCTGAGGAGAGCCCGGCGCTAGCATCGAAACCCGGCAGAGCGAGCACAGGCCCGGAGCGGCCCAGAACGGGATGCGGCACGGCAGTCCCAGCAGCTCAGCCTGTCTGTGCCTCCGCCCCCACGTGGCGCCACTACCGGCCGGCCCACAACCCCCGGCCCGGGCCGGGCTCCTGACGCCGAGCCGCAGCTACTCACAGGCGGCTGAGCCGAATCCTGCCTTCCGACCCCCCTCCCCCCGCCTCCACAGCCCCAATATGGCGGCCACAGCGGGGGGCACATCCACTTCCGCTTCCGGGGCAAGAGAGGCGGGGAGAGGATTCAGAGCCGGCCTGCCATTGGTGGCCGCGGGAGGAAGAGGGGCGGCCGCTGGAGCGTAATCTTTAACATCTGCGCAAGCGCAGCTCGCTCTGCTAGCGCTGAAGGGCGGCCCTTCTCGCCCCGCCCCTCCTCCTCTCAGCCAATGAGCGCCAGGCTGCTGCTGCCAGCGTGGAGGCGTCGGGAGCTGCGCGGGCACGTGGCGGCGGAGCCGCTGCAGTTTGCTGTTTTCCCGCCTCAGCTGAGCGCGCGCGCTCGGTAATGCCTCAGAGAGCCTTGCCTCAGCCTGGCTGCCTCAGCCTGCAGCTTCAGCAGTTTGTGGAGTTAAAGTACTCGAGTTTTGTTTGTTAGTGGTCTATGCGGAGCTGAAAAGCAAGCAGATCTACCGAAGCGTTGGTGTTTTTGCACCTATCGTCATCCTCAAATTTCTGTATGAAGAGTGATAAATGATGGTAGGTAAATCTATTCCTCTAACCTTCGAGTTTAAAAATCTCTAACACACATACGCAGGAAAGTTTGGGATTAAAACGAATAGAACAAGATCAGAAATACTCCTTAGGCAAAGATACGGATGGCATAAAAAAAAAAATAAGCACAAGCGCTGCTGTGCATCTGATGAAACAATCCGAGCTAAAATCGTGCAGCAAAAACGGTGCGCAGCCGCTTCTCCCTCCGCGAGCCGGCGATGCTCGGTGCAGCTGTGTGCAGTGCCGCTTTGTGCCGCTGGGTGGCGCTGCAGTTCGCGCTTTGAGGCCGAAGGCGGCCCTGCCTCGGGCCGGCGCTGCTTTAGGAGCTGCGCTTCCTCTGCTGCCGGGCGGCGCTGGGCTCGGTTTTGAAGAGGGTGCGTGCTTCAAAGCGAAATGAGACTTTTGCAAAACAGAAAACAAACAAAAAAAGAGAAGTCACTGGGGGTACTGATAACGCCATCCTCATGGTTTGTTTGGTGTGTATACAGAAAACAAGCTCAAGGCAGCTTCTTGATGCAAGTATGCATTTGTGTTTCAGGTATTCATTTGCAACATGTATTTAAACATAAGGCATAGGAATGCCAACAACAATATACTTTGAGGATTGTAATCATGAACTTAAAATACATAAAGTTATCAGACTGCTTATTTTCACAATTACCAGTCAGTTCTGATGCAGTAGAGGCAATCTGCTTTAATGATCTCTTAATGAAGAAGAAATGACACAAAATGTAAGATAGGTCAGTCCTCGAGTGTGTGTACACTGACTTACTTTCCTGACAGATTGATGTGGTCATTCATAGGTCATTGTCAATTCCAACAAAAACCAAGGCACGGTTCCAGCAGAACGTGAGTTTTCAAAATATGGAGGTAAACAGCAAAAATGTGACAATTCATGAGAGGAGCTGTTATGGGCAGCGTGGGGATGCAGTAGTAGAAATGCTGAGTCACAGCTTGCACCAGTGATGGAGCACCTGGTGGGAAGGCAGGGCCAGCCCAGGGGAGCTCAGGTGCATGCAATGTACTGAGTGATTAGAAGGGCTGGAGCCAGGATCCACCCCTTCCCAGTCCTCATTTAAGGGCTGGCAGTGGAGGTGAGGGTCTCTTGTTGGATCCCTGTGTGCCTGATGCCTTTTGAAGGTAAGCAGCTTTTTTTCCCTTATTGTTGTGCTCTTAGTTGCTGTGTGATGAGCATATGCTCACTTGTTGCAGCCCAGGAAGTTGTTTCTGTACTGCTACACTTCCCATTGTGTTACATAGTTACAGACGCAAACACAGTCACAATGGAAATGGTAGAGGTTTGGTTTGGTGCCTTTAGAAGGTAGGGTACCAAGGGAGACTCAAAGACTTAAGAAATTCCCATCCTGCTTTGCCCACAAACCTCTCCAGGTGGGATCTTAGAAGCTGTTTTGTGCAGTTAGAGGTCTTGGTGAATGTTAGGCCTTCTTGCTGATCGTTCAGTGCTTCCATGCTTTGTGCAAACATTTCCACGCCTGGGAACTGTGTAAATGTAGGAATTTTAGGAAAGGAAAAAAAAGCACTTTCTCTAAACTGAAATAGAACCTTGGGCATACTGAAGTAATTTTCTTGGAACAGAAAGAATGTGACCAAATCTTTAAAGCCCTGGGATATTTTAGTGTTCTTTTGTGGTATAGAATGTGCTTGTCATGGTATGGGTGTTGAATTTATCTGTTTTTCCTCTCCAGTTTTAACTATTAATGTGAGATTTTTATCTTTTTGGAGAGGTAAATTATTAATAAATGATGCTATTAATAGCAGAATAGCATGTTGATATGTCCAGTAAACAAGCAATAGTTATTACTGTTTACAGACAGGCCAATAATAACAGCATCTCAGACTTATGCACTGCTTAATCATTAAACTAATTTCACTTAAAGGGGAAATGTTATGAGAGCCAATGTAGGAGCTCTCGCTGGTCAATGGGGGACCTAAATTAAAGCCAGCCAAAATAACCTGACTTAAAAACAAACCATCAGCACTGCCAATGACCTGTGTTGCCTGGCTGGTTGTAGTGCCTTTGCACGTGTGCATCTGTATGGAAAATAAGGGGAAACAATAAAATGTAAACCAAGTTTGCAGAGGTTGCTGAGGTTAAAAGATAGATAGATAGAGAGATTTTCCTCACAAGTGTTTCCTTTCTGTGATTTCTCATTTCTGGCTGCTGCATCCATCCCGGTAAGCAGATGCTGTGTTCCATTCTGTCCCTGTTGCTGCTTCTTTGTGTGTTTTGGCTGTGTTTAGTTTGTCTTCTTTCCCAGAGGAAGGCCTGCTGTTTGATACACCTGTTAACAACACTAAACAGGTGGCTAGCCTTATGGGCTTCTTCACCTGCAGGCTTTCAGTTTTTTTCTGCCCTAGAATCCATGTGAGCCTTGGTATCTCTTTAGAAGAGCCAGAGTCACAGGCACTGTGCAAATTATTTAAGTGCCTGGAATTGAAATTGGTCAGAATTACACTGCATAGCAGCGATGGGGACAAATAGGGTAGGTTTGGCTGTACGGTCTGACCTGCTGTCAGCTGAGGCTGCACCCAATTAACACAAACTTGTTACAAAGCTGAGCATGGTGCAGTCATCACTGGACTCTGTGAAGTACATTTATGGTGGGATTTCTGATCAGGGCCCTGCAAGTCAGCTGAAGGGCTGCAGCCTGATAATGGAAGTGATTGATAAAAGCCTGAATTGGATGATACGGAAATCATAGACTACTAAAGATGGGCAAGTTGAGTTTGAAATACAATCATAATAAAATATGTAATAGCCACTAACTGAGAAATGGAAGCCACGTCAATGACCTGGAAATTGCTTCCTGGAATAAAGTGTTCAGTGTCCCTTTTCTTTTTATTCACAGAGATTCCTTGGACAGGTTGTTCTGCTATACAATGCTGGGTGTAACGTTAGTATTTTCAATTCTTAGAATAATGATGATGTATATCTACCAAATCAGTTACAGTTTGCAAATCTTGCTTAAGGAGAGACTGTTCCAAGTAAAACCATGCGTGCATTTCCAACATTTAGTTACTCCTTAGCTGTTTCCTTAGATGTAGCTGTTTTAAAGTTGAAACCAATGGTGAACAAATCCCTAACATCTCAGTTTTGTGATGTGAAGTGTGTCATGCTAATCTGATCAAGAGGGCTGGTGCAGAGCTTAATTAACGATGACCTTGTGCAGCTGCCATTGTTGACGAACTGCTGCTTATTTATTACTCAAAACATTTAAATGAATTTTGAGTCCTGAACCACTACTCGGTTATATGGGGTGTTTTTTCAGAATAAATTCCTTACTACTGAACCTTAGGTCTGGGGGGTTTCTTTCTTCAATATCTAATATCTGATAATAGACAATTTTGCCCTCATCACATGTTATTCCTCAATAACTTCTTTGCCTGTTTTGGGCTCAATCAGTGGATTGCAGCGTATTTGCCCAGCATACTGTAGGTCAGAATCAGGGAACACAGAAAGCACTAAAACTCAAAGGTTTTTGTTTTGTTTAAAGTAGAATTTCTCATAGTAGGGTTGTTTTTAAACAACAAAACCCCCAGCATAATGCAGCCCATCACTGAAACCTTGTTCTCCGTTTCCTACTCTCCTGTTTGTGTGCTGGTAGCTCTTTTTCTGGAGGCCTCCATGTCACTCTGGTTGTTCACGCCTTTGTTTCTCTGCAGAAATGTGTGATGTATAGATAGTGCTTATGTGGACGTCAGCATTTCCAAACCTTGCATGTGTTGCATTGCTAAGCAACTTTTAGCAACACTTATCTCTCATCCTTATGCCATCTGGAAAAAAGGATTAGACAAGGAAATGTGCCAGAGAGAGACAAAGGCAAATCTAAGTAAGAGCTAGCTTAATTGCTTAAGAGAATGGGTGACATTAATAGTAGGCAATCACAGGAATTGATTGAAAGCAGAATGCCTTTACAGGTAGAGATAAGGGACAGCTGAGAAAGGTGCGTTATTCCCCTGCTGCCTTTTTGTTCCCCAGAGGAAGCAGTGCACAGCTGAACCCTACTGTATGTTTTTGTACAGTGATGCAAGATGAAAACCCATATGACTTCAGTACCTCATTTAGTTCCAGTTACAGTGAGCTTTTTTTCCCCTCTTCCCGGTTATGTGCACTCATGACTGTAACTAGCTGACAGCCATTTAGGGAGTCTCTTTTACCAGGCAGAGAAGATTGTTAAAATGCCAAGCTTCTGTACATCAGTTACCAACTGCTGTCGTTGGGATACCTGCTGTAGATGCTTGCTTTAAGTAGTGGCAGAAGGAACAGACCAATGCAAATAGCATCACAAGTGCATTTCCAAGGAACTACTTTGCTGTGCTTTCATTTTTCAGCTTAAATCCCTGATTGCTAAGGCTGCAAACAGAGCGTTGGAAACTTCAGCCACAAACTGGAATTCTAATAGGGTTCACACAGATTTCAGAGTTATGGTAACTCTTTATTTTGTATGTCTGCTGTTATCACACAAGAGGCCAGA